TTTTGTCAAAGTTTCCCCAATGTTTTCCCAACAATTACGAGACTAAATTCTGATGTGTCTACATAGTTAGGCACTCAACACACTAGTAAGTGCTCACGTCCGTTGTTGGAACGGAATGGAGCAGAGACTATTCTAAGCGTTGGAGGAATTTATTTGCTGTCTTTGATTCGTGTTGAAAGTCTCTGCCTTTACAGAGCATCAATTGGTGGCACGAACGTGTGGTTAGACTTGTGTCTAGAACTCTGTTCGTTAAGGTTACATTGTCTTATTCCATGTTTTCGATGACAGGCGAGAAGTCCAACCTTGAACTTGGGTAACGTTGATATCAAGAAAGTATGTTATTTTGTGCTGAATGTGTTTTATTTACCAGTAACAAATATTGTAAAGCGTTTGAACTGTTTCTCATTTGTTTCCTTATAATCTTTTTTTTTTCTGTGTATACCTCTGAAAAACTAAATACCAAATAGAACTATGTAGATTAGGTAAGTGGTAATGGTTTTCTATATCTGATACACTAGTAAAATAGGAACTCATGCACTGTGGTAAGTCTTTCCTTAAGCCAAGAGTACTTCCGTAACGTGCCTATTTACGTAAGTGTCTTCACTGTACTTGCAACTACAGCAATAAGCAATGGTTTGGTTGGACTTGAAGATAATTAAGTTACCATCTAGACCCGTTTCTGTGTATTGAGTCACAGTGTGCGTCTTTAGTGCGGGGCTACGAAACAAACGTAATCTTTCTCTTGATGGCCAGACTTTTAGATTTTAGTTTTACTGTAAATGCTGTATTTCAGAATGTGGAAGTATCGGGAATAGGGGGGCGGGGAGCTCTTTCAAATGTGTGCAACATTTTTGTGTCTTGCACGGTGTCCACCAATTAGACAGTGTTTGTGTGTGATGGTGTGCGTGCTAAAGTGGACTACATACTTAGATATCTGTTTGCTGGCTGTTAATGTTAGACTTTAAAAAAAAAATACATACACTATATTAAGGATGTTGGGTGAGAGGGGTAGGTGGTGGTGGTTCTTATCTTATCTCTTGACACGCTAACCATCAGTAGTCTTCAACACACTTAGACTCGCCATTTTCAAACATGGTCTCAAAAAATTGATCCATTGTCATGCACGATGAGTGGTCGTGTGATGGGGTGGAGGGGGCCGGGCTGTCTCATAGCCCCCCCCCCTCCCCAGTTTTCAACAGCTCTTCGTATAAAGCGAGACCTTTGGCCCCCTGGATTTGATCTGCTTGTGACTCTGCATGTTTTTTTTTCCTTCTGTATCTCAAGAACCCCGGGGCCCATTCTGATAAGGGCTTGTCTTACCAGAACACTTTTAGTCTGCAGAAGTCTCGCCTCTTGGTGGCCACTCTACAGGTGACTGTATTAATAAAGCGTTACATTTCCTGATGAGTTTGTTCAACCGCGATTTGGAGAACTAGAAGATTGTTTCCTATTGTCTTTGGTGTGGCCACTTTCAGATGTGGACTTGTTCATCACTCCAGCAGTTGACTAAGTATACGTTTTCATCTTGTACTCTGAACGCTATAGTGTAACGTCTCATTCGTTTTGCATACCTCGAGTATTGTGTGAGGAAGGGAAGTTCAAGGCTGATTAGTGACCAGGTCACTAAGCATGATGACCGTTGACCAGTGGCCAGCGCTGATACAGGATTATGTTTATCTATTTAGATAGGATTATCAAAGTTGTAACACTTTCGTCCGCTCTTGTCCACTGGTTGACCAAGGTCGTTGACCCTCTTCATATCTATTTGGTTAGTGGGATCATTTGTAAGTAGGAACACCATCGACACTTATCAAGAACAACATTCCTCTATTTTCCATCTATTTGTTACTATGGCATCTTTAGTCTAGTGCAGACACAGCTTTGGCATTATATAGGCATATGCGGCTGTTTTTTTTTTTAAAGAAGTAACTATTAACTTGCGTATTTAAAATAACAATGTAATTTTTTTAGAACTATCAGCAAACTCCATCTACAAGAAATCTTGAACTCTTTAGGTTTAAATCATTTTCGGGGACTAAACTCATGATTATTACTTTCTTTGTCGCATAGTATTGCTCTCTTCCCTTTGTTATAAACGTCTGGGTGTTGGAATACTTTGTATCTGATCAATTGGATTCTAACCGTGATGTAGAGTCTAGTCTCTCTTTGAGGAACTAATCATTGAACACGTCTGCTGCTTTAGTCCTTCCACTTTACCCATCCCCCCCACCTACCATTTTTTTCTCTCTTGAAGTTCAACGCCACTCAAAAAAAACACAAAAAAACTGAACGTTAAAAAACATTTCTAGATTAGAATTAGTTATAAGCAGACGACAGTCGGTTGTTCTCATAGCTCGCGGGCTGCGGAGATAAGCTATCTGCACATTTCTGGGTCAGACTTTAGACCCATGTTGAAACCACGTGGGGAAATACAAATCTACATTTCTGCCGATCTTCTTCTGTATTTGCATTACACACTGATCTCTTGTGGTCTTTTTGATTGGGCGTATCACTTAAAGGCAACTAGGGTGGGTTTAAAAAAAAAAGATTCTATGCCAGCAACATTGTGCGTGTATCAATGATCTTAATACAACTAGAACAAAGTCGTGTCCTTTGTAGACTGTATATTAAAGACTAAAGAAATGCAATGACAACAAGCTTGTTGCGGATTCCAAACAAGACCTGACGTCAAATACTGGGAAAAAAGTCATCTTTTTTGTTTTACTAAGTTTATGTCTTGCACTTCTTTCATCCATAGTTGGTCCCAACCGAGGGAGTTGTCTCCAGTCTGTGACATCAGAGACCAGTTGAGCGCTTCTCTTTACCGCTATTTCTGATTACGTCATTTGACGATGTGATCAATAGTTAGAGTCGACTATTAAATCATTAACAGATACCTGGTAGCCTCGTATCTAATAAACTAGTAATAGTTCGAGTTGGGGGTTGTGTTTACTATACATAGTTCGTCCGTCGTGGTTCGATGTTGACCACTTTCTTCATTCACAGGACTTTGCTCTGCGGTTTTGTGCCTCCTCGTGTGGCTGGTGAGACCTATGTGAGTCCGGAATGTACATCTGCCCACTGAGCAGGTTCATCCAGCTGGAGCTTGTGTCGCGGGGGATTTGATTGTTTTCTCCGACACTTCTTCCAGCGCTTGTACTTGTGTTGACATTGGAGGTCTTGCTTCCCAAACTCTTAGACACTTTCAAGAGAAAAAAAAAGCTTTCGGTGGTGGAACAGTCCTCTATGCCGTGGCGTGTCCATATTTCTATTGTGATTTTATTTCTTAAAGTGCGTGTGAAGACTTTAAGTTTCAAGTGTTGTTCAATTAAACTGTGAGTCTGGCGTCCAATGGAAGAAGAATGGGTATTTAAAGGGCCCATGTAATATCATCAGCTGACAAAATGAATGCCCTTAACTTTCTATAGAGAACTACTGGATAGGTTGATTCTTTTGACCAATATTAGCATGATAACAAAAAGACATTTTTCTTACGATCGTTTGTTCTGCAATTCTTGTTTCTTTTCTTTATGTTAGGCAACTCTCGCTAACGTAGTCAGGATGGAGGCAAACGTTTTAGAAAGTTTATAGTTCAGTGCGTCCAATAATAGTAAGGGGGAAAAAAAAGTAAAACTTACTTTCGTTTCCATTCTCGACTTGTGTTGACTTGACTCGATGCTATCTACACACACACACGTTAGACTACGTTAGTTGGGAGTCGACTATTTATAAACATCGTGCGGATTTAGTTGGAAATTTAATTTGAAAGTAAAGAGACGTTTAATTTTCAAAACAATAAAACAAAACAATAAAACAAAACAATAAAACAAAACATTAAAACGTCTAAGTAAATAGAAGTTTTAATTTTTTGTTTTATTGTTTTGAAAATGTAAAAACATTTCGTTGGGAAGTACATAGATATGTTTGGAAGTACATAGATATGTTTGGAAGTACATAGATATGTTTGGAAGTACATAGATATGTTTGGAAGTACATAGATATGTTTGGAAGTACAAAGATATGTTTGGTGGACATTCTGTTGAAAGAACAAAGAACTAATGTGTTGCCATCAAATTGATGACCAGGAATCAAAAGGAAGGTGCACGCCCCTGTTGTTTGCACTTAACAGAAGGGCGTTAGAGCTTGAACATGGAAAGGGGAAGGGGTGATCGGGGTCTACTTATGGCAAAGGTACTCGAATGCCTGTTTAAGATAACGGTGCCCGTGGATCTAGTTATGTGTGGGATCTATCTAGTTTGACTTAAAGCACTACACTTGTGTGTCTGTGTGTTGGTTCAAACTGTGTCTGCAGCTATATGGATCTGTGTGTGTGTGTTTGTAGTTCGGTCTCTTTTATCAGTTTGTTTTTATCTTCTGGATTTCCCCCCCCCTTTCTTTTTCCAATTGAGTTGGTTCAGTAGGGCCTAGGCCTCTACACTATTAGCGTTATCTGTCTAGAGTTCTAGTTTTTATGTTTAAACAAACTGCTCTAGAGGTCGTCTCATTAGATTGGAAGCATTGCTGTGGAGTCACGTTGTCGTGGCCAGATTGGGCGATTGATTCTCTGGACCTTTATTTTCCTGGACAGTCAATGGTGAGCATCACACGTCACTAGGATGACTATTGGTTTTCACGTCTGCTGGTAGTAAGCCAATCGTCTGAAAATCTGTAACTTATTTACAGCTACATTTCTTCGGATCAAATAAAAAGATTTTTTTCTTTTTGTGTATTTTGCTCTTTTTCTGGTGTGCATTAGGCATTGAGTTTTAAGTTTTGATTTTGTATGTGTTACACTAGTGATCAATGCAAGGTGAGAACGATCAACTTTTTGTTGGACAATAATTAGTATTTGAGATTCATGGCTGAAGCGCCGAAAATAGACTACATTACACTTTTGTATGTTTGTGTTCGCGTGCTGGCGTGTGATCTGCGTCACCGTGTGACGAGCGTGAGCACGACTAGACATGCGCAGACACACACTTGATATCAGGCGTGTTATGGAGTGGAGAGAGTTTTATCTCATCGTGTTTGGCGAAATTTGATGAGATTCAACTCCTCCAACTGCAGATCACGCTTGGAAACTGCACTGACCATCCAGAGCTACATACTGACCAATCAGCGTGTAGGAACTGACTATTCTTTGAGTTATAGAATAGTTTTATTCAGAAATATAAAGATGCCAAGAACATAAACGCGAATTCAAACAGGAAAAAAAAAAACACAATCGCGACGTCGCAATGACAAGGGAAACAATTACAAACTTCAACGTAATTCAGCAGTTAGTGCCCCTTTATTAAAATAGAACATCTGAATAATTTCAACATGCAAGTATTGAAAATGACAAATATTGCTTTTGTATTGGACTGTTGAGGTTTGTATGGTGATCCAACGTGTAAGTATACATATAAATAGACTTAGATATGTACAAAATAGAGCTGTGGTATCATAACAGTGTCTTTTATAGATTCAGACATGTAGTGTTGACGTTATGACTCTCTTCTCCCTCCTCTAGGTGCTATATGTGATTCACTTGAAAGTCCAAAGTCTTTTAGAACAAGTTTCTTTTGTTCCTTAGGGTTGGTGTTAAGTAAAAGACAAATACTGATTGCAACAATCCAGCTAACTCTATTCAGGGAAACGTAGCTCTCTAATCTTCATTTCAATGAAAACAACTATTTTTGGTTTGTTTCCAAACTATTATTTCAGGCATTGTAAAAATAATTAGGCGACTTCCATACAATGTTGTCTTTGGACCTATAAAGTATAACCATTGTATATAAAATTATTATTAATAGTGTTTCTTGTTTCTGCTGAGTCATTATTTTGACTTTATTTCAGTTTGTTGAAAGAGCCGATGATACATTTTAGTTTGTGTGACGTCACTTTCATTTGAAACTGTTGTGCTGTTAACAGGAGCGGCTGGCGCTGTCATTGTGTTAAATAGATAAAGCATAGAGATTGAAGCTGTACTGGCCCGAAACCAGCTGCAGTAGGAATAACGAGAGAGAACTTAGTGATAAGTGTACATTACCAATGTATAAGTCTAGATTCAGCTTTCTAGCAGAGAGTTTTACAATTCATGGGGTGAAACGGTGAAACTTGCAGCTATTAGATGCTACCGGTAGCCCCGCCACTTGATTACAACATCAAGACCAAGCCTGGAAAAGAAAACAAACAAAAATTTCCTGGTTTCTGCTTCATCATATTAATCCAAGTCTTAAGATCGTCTTGACGTTTTGAATGGAACTTTGCATCTTTTACTGTTTGCACAAGATGAGACTCACCTGCAAGAGCTAATTGTCTAATTTAAACTAGTGGAAATGAAGAATCAGTATCTTAGGAAAGAAATTTATTTTGAAGCCATCGATAGGACATTGCTGCCAACCTTTTTCAGATCAATGTTTATTCTTAATTTTCAGTGGTAAAATGCTAGAGATCACTGACCCAAATGCATATCCTGTTTGTTACTTGTATCTCAATGTTACATTTCATAAGAAAGATGTGTTGGTAGATAACTGATGCTTTGTTTCATAAGAAAGATGTGTTGGTAGATAACTTATGCTTTGTTTCATAAGAAAGATGTGTTGGTAGATAACTGATGCTTTGTTTCATAAGAAAGATGTGTTGGTAGATAACTGATGTTTTGTTTCATAAGAAAGATGTGTTGGTAGATAACTGATGTTTTGTTTCAATAAATAAAGATTATTAAGAGCAGACATTTTTTTCCATCTTTCCTTCACTTTGTGTGTTTGTATGTTAGTGATTGTGTAGTAATTATCTCTAAAACTATCTAGACGAAATAGGTTCTAGATCTCTACAATTGAAATCGTTGACAGCTATAAACAGAACCCCCCCCCCAAAAAAAAAAATTACACTAATCAATTACATTTATAGTGCTAGCTGAACAGATGCATGAGTCTCTTAATGCCTGTGATTAGAGGCCAGTACGCCTGTGCTATAAAATGAATTATAATTGGACGCTTCGTACAAATAATGAGCATGGCTTGACTGATACATTAAAAAACAAAAAACAAACTTAGTCTTAATTTAACATAACATAACATAGCAACATAAATTAAAAGAGAATCATTAAAGAGACCTCTGTCTGTAATTCGCTTACACAGATTCAACACCGTAACGGCGTAACCAATGATTCTTCATGCTCTGATCTGTTATGGAGCAATGTAAGATAATCCAACTGGCGACTGTTGTAGTTGTACTTGTCTCATGCTAGGACCGTGGTACCGGCTGCTAGGGCTACAAATACTGACCACTTTAAAAACAAAAAATAAGTGACACTTTGGAACGTCGGCCCATAGCCTAAGTCATTTTAATGTTAGTTTACTTTTTCTTTCAATAAAATAAGATCATAGATTGTTTGTTTCTCAGAGTTGTACATAAGCCTGTATGTATACGTTTTGAAAGAAATAGCAATGCTTTGGTCACAATCACACAGCAAGTTTGTATAACAATCAGACGCTTGGAACAAAATGACAAAGTTGTATCACATTCACAGGGTGGTATCACATTAAAAATTGTTTTATCACAATTATACGCTTGTATCCCAATCACATGGTTGTATCACAGTCACGTGAGTCCCTACATCTTCCCACCTTGCAAAACGGGTTTGTGGAGACAAGTCTTGAATTATCAGTGTACTTGAGCAAATAAAAGATGTATGAAGTGACTCGCCCTTTGGAACCTCGGCTACGCTCAACAATGCCACTAGACAAGAAGGGGGCGAGCTTGTACAAAGCTGCAGATAAACTGAAAGAGTTCATTGAAGAGCCGATAGCTAACAGCTTGTTGGCCATTATCTCCCATTATTGAGATAAAGCCAGATACCTCTGCTATACACGTAGTGACTAGTTGAGCTTAATCTATGTTCAAGTACGTACTGAAAGAAATGGACTCTACAATACGCGATTCTCATAATACAAACATTTATTTTCAACAGTAGTAGGTGCGCACGTGTGTGTGATACAAACAGCATTCAGGTTTCCACTTGGTCGCTATGGTAATGACGGAGCTACATGCGGTCATCAGTTACATATTGAACTTCACATGACTTCCAGCTCTGCTTGTTATTTAGACAAAGATATAAAGTTACTTCATGATACTACACAGGCTAAAATCGATAGCATACACAATTATATCAGAATAACATCGGATTGTAGACAAGGTCGCAGCACAACACAACAACAAATCCTAAACCTCAGGAGACTCTGTTAGAAATACCTTAAACATCAACAGAATCTTGTCTTCATTGATTTCAATCACGTTTTCGACATGGGTCACTCTTGGCGACAGTGTCAATAAAAACGTCATCAAAGTAATCCAGCACCTTTACCAGCAGGCCACTAGTGGGGCAGTGTACTTCAACACCAACATTGGGGACTGGTTTAAAGTCAGACAAGGCTGCCTAGTTTCACTAACTCTTTTTAACACCGGGATCCTTGAAAGAATAATGGAAAATGTTATCGATGGCTACGAAGGTACTTGGAGCATTGGAGAAAGAAAGAAGAATTACTATCTTGCGCTTAGAAGACGACATAGATGGTCTGACAGGGGCAGAAGAAGAATTAGATTACTAGGTGATGCGCATAGACAAGACTTCCGCAGCGTACGCTATGCAAGCCAGTGCCAAACACACACACACACACACACACACATTATCATCATTAGCCAACAGGGTTTTAAAAGAGACATCAGTATTGGAGGCGAAAAGCTGTCAAGTGTTAGTAGTTTTAAAATACCTCCGACCTATTGTCCTTGATGAAGGAACCAAACCTAAACTACTGACCAGAATTGCATAGTCCACAGCATTACTTGCAAAAGTCAGAAACATTCTGGAAAGACAAAGGCATAGCTCTCGACACAAAATTCAGACTGATGCGCTCTCTGGTCATGGTCACATTCTTATATACTTGTAAATCTTGAATGCTGACTGCAGAACTAGAGTAGCAAGTGGATTCAGATGCTACAGAAATATTATAGGTATCTTATAGAAGGACTGCATCACAAATGAAGAGCTTAGAACTAGGATTAATACTGCGATTGGACCCCATGATTATATACAAGCGATGTGAAGACAAAAGAATGGACGGCCTGTTTATTAATAAGGACTTAACCCAAGGCAAAAGATAGAGAATAGATAGAGAAAGACGGTCAACATGTCTTGTGCCCCAACAGTGTAACAGACTTAGGGATAGGTGAAGAGTGAAGTAGATAAGTAGTTATACTCGTCTTTAAGGAATTACCAATGCTAGAATACAATATGGGTTAACTTTGTAAATAGACGGAATAAAATCCCAGTTTAAAAGTTTTCACAAAATGTGTTCATGTTTTAGATCAGCCTGTCCTTGTTGAGATCAGACATACAGTCAGATAGTAGAAGGAATTTCCAAAAATTACACTTAAAGAAGACAGTGTAGCACTGAACTCTTCTGATCAGCTAACAAATAACAAACATTTTCTCAACGCACAACAGCTATCCACTAATTCATATTTATACCTACCCCCATCCCCCCAAAAAAACAACAACAAACAAACTCCCAAACACATGCTAAGAGCTAAATGTGCTCCTTTGTGGCGCTGGTTTAGAAGGCCTATTGAAGCGCCGTTCTACAAGCCCTTTTGAGGCTCCGGCTTGTACATTTCTCCAAAGTTCTCTCGATACGTATATGATAACCCTAAATAATTGCACTAGATGGCGATTAGCCAACCTTAATTTCTCTGTCCAGTTCTACCCCAGGTAGCAAAGTACGCAGTCATGGATAAAATTAGCAACAGTAACCACTACTACTGTAACGTCGACCACCTTTTCACTTACCAAAAAAGACTGCGTTTGGCATACGTTCGTCCCCCATACGGGATACGTGCCCTGCCCAGCGTAACTGTTGAGCCATAAGAAGTCTCCTCTATACTGTCCACACCGGCGTTCGCAAGGTCATTGCTGATTGTAGTTCAGTCTTGCCACCGTATGTCCATGATAGAGCGCAAGCATCTTTGGTGAAAGCGTTCAAGTAGTTTCAATTACTTTCTGTATACCAATGTCTCAGATCC